CTCTTGCACTTGCACACAGTTCTCTAAAACTGTTACTGATGGCAATGGGTAGTAAAGAAAACAAACCAAAAAAAAGAAAAAAAAAAGAGGAAAACAAGAAACCATAAATGATAAAAAACACTATTTCAAATGGAGATCATTAATTCAAGCTGTAATCCAAACATTTTTGCAGTGTGCCAAATAATAGTTTCTGGTCAGAGTGCAAACCAACTAGGAGAGAAAGAAAGGCTGACAGTTGATTATATCTATGGATGTTACACTGACAGTTTTCACTTTTGTCTTCCCCCTGACAACTAGAAGTGCTGGAAATCTGAGTTTTGGAAGCTGCAAATATGTGTACTTGTATATTTATACAAGTATATGCTCACTTTCAGTTGGCTCCTGCAGGAATCAACCCTTTTGTGTTTGCCAAAGTTGTCTGATGTTTACATATAGATGGATGCTCAAACATAAAATTTAACAAAAGATAAGAAGATCAATCACAAATTGTTTCATTTTGTGAAGAAGAAAACAAAGCCCTTGTGATTCTCTTCTCTCTCTCTCTCTTTTTTTTTTTTTAATTTATTATTATTTTTATTATTTTTTAAAATTATTTTTAAATTCGTAATCCATTAAGTTTTATAAAAGACCTGACTGTGAGGTCTTGTTTTCAATCAAACCTTTGCTAAAAGTTGTGTTGCCAATTACAGTCTGGATGGTGATTTTTCCTGATATTTTTACAGTTGTATTTCCCAGCCTTTCTTTGCTTACTGCTAGCTAGTATACTGTTTACTGTTGCTGCTATTATCATAGGTGAATTAATAATGATGGAAAAAAAATAAAAAGAAACAAAAAAACACCTTACTACAGACAACGGGTGCAGACCAAATAGGTTCAGGAAGCAATACTCAATAAAAGCTTATGGTAAGTGTTTTATGCACAACCAGGATGGTATTAATTCACTAGTTTAATGCTTTAATGTGCAAAAAATTATCTTCAACTCAATTTATTGTTCCTATCTAGATATCCAGACTATGACCAGGTACCCTTTCGTATCAATAGAACAATGCATTACTAAATCTGAATAATGAGAGACTGCAGAATAAGCAAAATTTGTTTATCTTTAGACTGCAGTGTCCAATTCTAAATATTTCAGTTATAAATTTTTCTTGCTCTTTTAATCTTTCTTAATTTTCTTCCAAAGTGTTCTTTCACTTGGAAATTGAAGCCAACCCAGCTTTAAAAATGCACTTAACTTTTGTCTCTTTCTTTGGTGGTTCTTACAATACTGCGACAACAGCAGTAGCGTATACATTTTATGTACCATTCAGCCAGTTGTTAGCTTCTCCTTAGTTTTAAGGGTAATTTGTTGATGTTCAGTTTCTCTTGTATCCAAATATGCAAACAAAGCTGTCATAGGTGATTGTGAGCTAATTTTAGAAACATCCCTGTGTTCATCAGTAATTATTTTTAATAATAGAGATATGAAATAACATACCTCAAACAGGGGAGCTGTGTTTTACACTACTTGTACAAAGCTACTTGTATTTCAGCAAAACTTAATAAACAGTAGCCTTTCTGGTACTGAGAGACTGACTGCTTTAAGTGTTTGGACTTGTCTTTGGTTTCATTTTAGAGAATGTTCAACACCAACGATCCAACAGAATTTGAAATTCAGATAACTTCTCAGTAAAACTTAATATGTTATTTGTTAATCAACAACTTCTACTAGAACTATATATAGCCTGGCAATAGAAGCTTCCTGTACCCATTGTGGTCAAATATAAAACCTCTTTTTTTTTTTTTTTTTTCTTTTCTGTTTTATGATTTCTCATTTTGTTTCTTTAGAAATAAACACACCCTATTCATTAAGTCAAATTAGATGATGAATATGTTAAAAAAAAAAAAGATGAAAATGAATACAAACATGGTTCTAGTAAAACACAGTGACTTCCAAAATACATTGTATTATTTTGCAAAAAAAATGCAAATTTATTCTGCAAAATTTACATTATGCTGCAAAATTGTCCATTCAATTTATGGGCTTACACATAGCATGGAAAAGAGGCAAGTACATAATTGCATATTCCTATGTATTCTGTAAGGAGGGAAATCCATATTTCAGGGGCACTGTACAAGTGATTAGAGATATAACATATGCTATTTTCAGTGATACTAACTTCCTATTCTTGTAATGTAACTTAAACACCTTAAAGTGCCTAAATAACTCTTGATAAAAACTGCCTTTGGATAGCACTATACACCCCTAAGTGGGTGTCCTTGTTACTTTCCAATACTGAATACTCGTTTTCTTTCCATTCCTGTGATCCTCTATTTTCTGTGAAGAAACAGCTATACGTCTTTCTTTGGAAACTTTTGTACCTTGTTTTGCCCACCAAATGAGGAAGGATCCAGGGTGTGAAAGTGAGGTCAGCATAAAACATAAAATCTTAGTAAAATAAGAGCTTCATTATTTCTCTCAGCACTTGTTAAATAAATAATTCCTGTCTTCACCACTGGAAAAGCATTTGGGAAATGCTTTCAGTATTTATTGCTCCAAACCAGACCACTTTTCTTAGAAAGCATTTAAAGGGAATAATAATCTAGGTTATGGGTGAAGAAGCAAGTATGTATCTAAATTTGGCCATTACAATCACAAAATATTTTGCTGTCTTCTCCCCCCCCCAAGTCTGGAGATTTAGAGCCTCCAAATAGAAGCTTTTCTGAAATAATCAGTTTTATGCGTTACATGTAACAGCTCAAAATAAAATTTATTTATGTATCTAAGAAATGGCAATTGCTATTTGTGGTATTACCTATTTCTTATCGGGCAAAGATTTGTTGCTTTATAATACTGTACCCACTCAGCTGGCATTTGTGCATGTTTCTTTGGCACTTCCACAAATGATGAGAAAACGACTTTTACCCAGTTAAATTACTGTGTGAAGTCAAAAAGAAACATGCAAGACCTCTCCAGATAATTTTGTTCCTCTCCAGTATACCTTTTTGAAGAACACAGATTAAAAATTTAATGTTGATACTGTGCTTGTTATGCATTTTCTATTGGCCTTTCAATGCAGGATTAAGTTGGATTTCCAGTCAAAAGTAATTTGATAGATTTTTAAAAGGCTAATAGATTTTTTGATATTCTAAACAGCTTAGACACAGGTTTTGAGTGGATTTGCCAGATAATTTTTCCACTTTTTTTATGCACAGTTTCTCTCCATGATCATAATAAGGCTTGTTTTTTTGTTTAATGAAACTAGTCACCTATTTCTGTTGTATCCAATACTCCTTATCTTTTTTTTTTTTTTTTCCACCTGTATTCTTTTTCTCTGTCCATGCCACACCATCTAAAAGCAGAGATCTGTTAAAAAAAAAAAAAAAAAAAAAAAGAAAATCAGTCTGAAGTAAGGCAACTGCAGGATAGGGATTTTGAACATAAACAATACTTTTTCTGTCACTTTTGCTGTTCCTTCTTACACCATATTTAGAGAGCATAATGTGCTATTCGTATTTTAATTAAGGATGAATTCTGGAATGTATTTGTTGCTTGTATTTCATTAAAAAAAAATAAAAATCCATGCCAATAACTGATATTGTTAACATGTGTTTGTGCTGTTTTGCATTTCCCCTCTTTGTTCCTTGATTTAGTCTGTAATGACTGTGTATTTGTTTTGTTTTCTTTCCTTTTCTTCTCATGTTAGTAAGTCCTATCTTTCCTTTCTGAGAACCACCTACTGCTCATGCCATGCAGTTTATTTTCACAATGTTTCTTGGGTTAGCTTCTTACTGGTAAGTGAGAATTCTATAAATTTCCACTCTAGCTTTGGAAGAAAATAAAACTATACTTCTAGCATAAATCCAAGTTGCAGAGAAGGTTTTAAAATATGACCTTGTCTGCTTGTAACAATGAAGCTGACTTGCTGGCAAAATCCCATTATAAAGTTTCATATTTAAACTACTTCAGTGGTATGCTGTTGGCGATAACAGAAGATGCTTTTTAAAATGTAAACTTAGAAAGTGTGGACAACATTTAATAATTCTTTTTTGGAATTCCTGGTAGTGGAACTCAACAACAGAAAAATAAAAGTTTGGAGTCTGGTACATAAAATAGTTTGGTATGCAGTGTTACTATCTGTGGATTTCCCTAGCTTAAATAAGAGATAGGGAAGAAATTTTATTTCATTTTTAAAGAGAATGTACATTAAAGTCTTGATGACAGCTAGGAATGTATTGGAAAAAGTGTTAAAAAAATGAATTTGCAGTAACCAACCTGTTATGTTCAAAACACAAAATAATTTATTTCAATACTAAATGCATTTTAGAACAATACTTTTTAAGAGCTCTAAAGGTATTAGCAAACATCTGTATGTAACCCACTAAGTATTAATAGAGAAAGATAAATTCTTTGACATATTCTTCTATGTTCCTTAAAAGCAAGACATATGTTTTTCTTTGCAGTACCTCTAACAATTAACAGCAGAGAGCAATTAAAAATCATTTATTTCCACAGAGTAACACCTTGCCTGTATCTAAATGAGATAGGTGTGAAACAGAAGATGCCTTGCAGGAATTTGATGTCTGCTTGATGATTTTTTACACGTAGTTAGCCTCTGCTCTGTCCAGAAACAACAGTATCTATACTAAAAAAAAAATATCTAGACACTTAGAAAAGTTACAACTGTTACAAATTGGTATTAAAATTTACTGAATTTTAGAATGGTAAGTTTAGAGTTCCTCCTGGCCTCAGTAAAAGTCCCCTTTCAAAAAATAAATAAATAAATCACAACTGAGTGACGGTAAGTGAGATTAACTTGGTCAAGACATTCAGTAGCAGTCATTTGACTTCAAAAGTTCAATACATTCAAAGACTGAAACTGTTTTCTTTCTCCTAGATTCCTTGTTGATGCTCAGTCTCATCAATGGAAATGTTTATTATAAAGACAGGGGAGAGTGCATTCTGCATGCTGGCAGTTAGCAATACTCTTTCACAATAGTGTAATTGTTTAATTAATTAGGAGAGTGCTCAGATGATCAGAGAAGTGGAAGTGGATAAAGTGACAGTGTTGGAAATAAAGCAAGTTGAAGCAATCAAGAATCTCTGGAAGGACCCAGGAATTCAAGAGTGTTATGACCGACGGAGGGAGTACCAGCTCTCAGACTCTGCTAAATAGTAAGTACACTACCTAATGACAATTAGACTTAATGTAGTTAATAAAGAGAGAGATTTACTCTGATTTTATTATCTGTACCTGTGTCTCTGCTGGCCTGTGATAAACAGAAGATTTTAAGCAGAAGTGATGAAACAAACTAATCTGAGGTTTTCTGAGGATGCCAGAACTATTATCCCTCCCAATTCTGAGGTCAGTGCAGCTGGTACATAACTGAGTTTCCCATGGGAGAAATCACGCAAAACAGCTGTACTAAATACATTAACAACAAGCGGGCAGGTCAGAAAGCTCATAATTACACAAAAAATATTAGGGTATAAATAAGAATGAGAATTTTATAAAAAAAAACTTCTCCCCTATTTTTCCTGGAATTATGAAAAATTATTGCTTTAAGAAAACAGAAAAAATAAATGTATGTTTCTGCAAGGTTGAAAAGCAGCAAAGTTATATTTCAGCAAGGAACATTCATATGGGGCATTTATGGTAAACTTTGATTCAAAATGGTTACACTTGGGCAATCTGCTTTTGTGTGTTAAACCTTATTCCTAACAGATGTTTGTCTGCTTTGTTTTTAACTTATTAGAGAAGGGTGCTACTTAGCAGTCTGTCTATTCTAGCCTCATTTTCTAAGAAATTAACCAAAATGGAAAACTAGTTTTACTTTAAATTTCATTAAATCTTTATTTTACTGTTAATTGCAGTTAAGATCTCAATTAAGCATCTCAATAGCATTTTGTTACTTTGCTGGACACTTTTCTCATTCTAAAGAGAAAACTTAAAAAAGTGCTAACATTTTAGTGTGAGCATTTTTTATTTTGGTGCTCAAATGTGAGAGATGACTGGGCAGCAAGAAGAGAGTACACTGACATTCGTCTTCTGTCACCAAAAAGAAAGAGGGAGAATTAGTGCTCAAATAAAGGAAGGTTTGTGCTACAAACACATGGAATGATTTGGAATACAATTTACAGTTTTTATAGGCCATGGTAGCATTCAGGGTGATCTAATGTTGCTTTCTAGTGGTGGGAAGATAGATTGCAGACAGGGATACCAGGCATCAGTTCTTTGTGTCTGACTTGCTCACATGCCACTCATTTATTTAGGTACAGGAATGTCTTCCTAGAATTTAATTCCAGCTATGTGTGAAAAGCACAAGAGCCTTGTGAAACTAGGGAGGGCAATTATGACCCCAGCAGAAGAGAAACTAAATGCATCAACTTTTACATTAAAATTTGTAAGATGGAAGCATTCATGCTTGCAGTGCTTTCCATTAATTATTCTTCTGAATTTTGTCCAGCACACTTTCACATTCACATGAAATATTAGCATCACAGATAAAATGCTAGGGGATAGGAGGAATGTTGTTTAGCATTATAGCTAGGATTGATATATGTGTTCAAATCTTAATGATCATATTTACTTTGAGGTAGAAACAAAGATTATACAAATAAAGTTAATAATTTTGGGTATAGGCCAATTGTCCATAGAATATTCGAGCATTCTCTCTTTTAACTAGTATTATTCTGTCTGAAACATACATGTAAGTGTCAGGTAAGTAAAGGTTTTTGTTTTATGCCAGCAACAATTGCTCTTATGCCACACACCAGTGAATTTTTGTTCAGCTGCATTTGTGGGAACATTTCTCTGATCACTGATCAGTCTGGTTTTGCATCTCTGTATGATTAATTTATGGAAGTGCATTAATCTTGTTTATGTTGTATACCTAACTTTTCAGTTATTTTACTGACATCGATCGTATCGCTATGCCCTCATTTGTGCCAACTCAGCAAGACATTCTTAGAGTCAGAGTGCCAACTACAGGAATTATTGAGTATCCTTTTGATTTAGAAAATATTATATTTAGGTAAGACTGCCTGTCAAATGATTCAGTATACAATTACAAAAGTAGTTGCTGAAACTTTACTTCCAAGATCTTTTAAGCTTTTGTATTCAATTGGTATTTTATTTTCAGCACTTGATCCAAATCACTATGCATTTTGAACTATTACTTTAATCGAAAAGTCTGGAATGAGGGGGGTGGTACTTGTAATAAGATATGAGTGTAATTCATACCTGAATGTATTTAATTTTGATCATTGAATAGAGATGTGACTACACTGTTTTTGGGGGGGAGCAAGAGGGATTTTGGAGTGTATGTGGATACAAAATGGACCATGTTTTGGTATTTTTATTGAAATTTATTTAAACCTATTTAATTTTCTACCAACACAGAATAAAACAGCATTGTGTTTGTATTGTGCCTCACATGGCATGTATGCTTTATGTACTTACAGTGAAGTGCAGTGAAATTTGTGGCACTTCAGCTAGAATTTAAATATTAAACAGAACAAATAATATTAAGATAGACCTTCATGGTTCAAGCATAACTTAGGTAGGTGCGCTATTATAAGGTCTTTAGATATATTTAAAGTATGTTATGGAAACGACTAAAATGTCGACTGTATTTTTCTTTAACAGGATGGTGGATGTAGGTGGCCAAAGGTCAGAAAGAAGGAAGTGGATTCATTGTTTTGAAAGTGTTACTTCCATCATTTTCTTAGTTGCATTAAGTGAATACGATCAAGTCTTGGCAGAATGTGACAATGAGGTAAGGAGTGGGGATATCTAAATTATGTACAGAAAAAGGTGTGTGCCTTTGTAAGAAAGACGGCATTTACATGTCTTTCATAAAAGCATTTGAAAATATTAGGACTACATTTGTGACTGCTCGATCTGCTTCCTGGGTTGTATTAAATTAACAGCCTACCTGAAAAAAAGAAGAAACTAATTTAAAAACATGATTTAAACCATGCCTCAGGATGTATAAAAATTAATATTAACAATATCTCTAAGCAAGTAAAACTACCTCAATCATTTGTAATCAGCTGTGGGTTTTATTTATTTATTTAAGACCCTGACACTTCAGAATTAACCTGTACCCAAATTACAGAGAATAGAGACAATAATTTGAAATTTACCTCCTTGCTAGGGTTAAGTAATGTTAGTTGGGTTCTTCTGTCTGTTTTAGAATGCCATCATCATCATCATCAGTGGCCAGATGTGGCAGAAAAGGATGCAAAAAAAGAAAATACTAGACAGTTTGGGAGAAAAGCACATAGATGGAATTGCATTATTTTTGATAATAGTTGCTTTCCATCTTGAAAGTTAGAGCATTACTTAAAATGTTGTCCAGATACTCTTAATACCATTTGATCTCTAAGGTGCCAAAGCCCTTACCAGATAGTTTTCTCAAGATCTGTTTGAACTGTGAAAAGCAAACCTAACTTCACTTGCTGCAGTGTCACAACATGTATTGTAGTTTAGAATGAGTCTTCAAAGTTTTCTGTCATCTTTTGATGAACGAACATAGGTAACTGTAAGTAATATTTTTACTTCTACTGTCTCAGATATTCTGTTATGTTTATTTTGGACAGTAGTCTATGTGGTAAATATAGGTAAATGCTTATAGGTAAATATTTCCATCACAAATTTGTGTTCAGAAATGTCAACCAGCAATCTCCAATTGTGTTGTTCTTGATATCTTTCTTGAAATGAACAACATGACCAGACTTTATTACTAATATAGAGGAATACCTATGCTCTTGTTCTTTAACTATGTTACAATGCAGAATCAAATGATATCCTGAGTGGGAAGGTACCCACAAGGATCATCGAGTCCAACTCCTGGTTCCACACAAAACCACAATAAAATCAGACCATGTGTCTGAGAGCGTTGCCCAAACACTTCTTGAACTCTGGCAGGCTCAGTGCAATGACCTCTGCCCTGGGGAGCCTGTCCCAGTGCCCGACCACCCTCTGGGTGAAGAACCTTTTCCTGATACCCAGTCCGAACCTCCCCTGTCAGCTCCATGACAACCCCATGCCATTTCCTCCCTTCTGCGCCCTATCACTGTCCCTAGAGAGAAACCATCAAGATCACAGATCAGATACAGCCTGCTTCAATACTCACTTGTAAAGTCATGAAAGGCTTTCATTTAGCAGTTCATAACTGCTCACCAATTCACACAAAAACTCAAAAAAAAAAAAAAATTATCAAGGCTTACCTTGATTTCATGCTCTTCATAGGTGGGGATCCAAAACCCAGTAAACAAATAGTAATAATAAACCAGTGAATTGCAGTTGCACTTTATAAAGGTTGTATATACACAGACACACATATATACTATAAAATAGCTTTTAAAAAAACAAAAAAAAACAAAAAAACACCTTTATGATCTCTGTCTGATGTGATTTGTATATGCTACTCTTCAGAGAGTGTAACTTCAAATTCATTTTTGTTCCTACAGAATCGAATGGAAGAAAGCAAGGCCTTATTTAAAACTATCATTACATATCCCTGGTTTCTGAATTCTTCAGTGATTTTATTTTTAAATAAAAAAGATCTTCTAGAAGAGAAAATCATGTATTCTGATCTAATTAGTTACTTTCCAGAATACACGGGTAAGCATTTATTCCAGACTGTGTTCACAAACATAAAAGCATAAGCACAAACATAAAATTAAATCAGCTTTTCCTCATTAAATGTAGCAGGGAAAGTGGAATTATTCAGTATACTTCATATCTTTGCTTTTCTACCCTATCATTTCGAATACAATCTTAAGTTACTCAGTTTTACAGTTGCTTTTTAATTTTTTTTTGTGTTAACTGAACCATTGCCGATGGGTTCTTAAGACATTTCTTGCAGCTATTCCGTTACCATTTGTATGGCACTGTCATTATTAAGTTATCAGATGCACCTTTTCCACCTATATTTAATTTCAAGAGACAGGGGAAACCTGGGTAATATGGTTATTAATCCAACTCCACAGTATAATTTTACATTTATTATAACTAAAGTTCAAAGTTAAAAAACAGTCTGAATAACTTTCCTTAACAAACATTACTGATAATTAAAGTACCCAAAAGAATGAAGAAAATAACCACAGATATACTCCATAACTTAATACAGTATTATATTTTACAAGACATCCTTGAACTAATTTAGAAAGGAGTGGCAATGATTTCACAGCTACAGAGGAAGCACAGATACCCTTCTTGGCTAAAGAGAGACCTGTTTACTACATGTGTTTTATAAAATTTCTCTCATGGTTTTTAGGATAATACAACAGTGTAGCAAACTATTAAAAGGGGCTGGGTAATTTCAGTTGTGTAGGACATTACAATAAATTTCTTTGAACTGTAATATTTACTTACAAAAACAAAAAACAAAAACAAAACAAACAAACAAACAAACAAAAAAAAAGCACGTTATAGTAAACAGTGTTACAGCATCTTTTGCCCCACTAACATGTGAATAAGAAAATTCCAAAAAGGGGAGTATGCCTTTATAGCATTTACAGCATATTTAAACATGAAGTTAGGATGTTCATATACTGTCATATTTCTTTCCTGACCAACATAGTTTTCAACTGTTTAAAAGCACCAATTGTGTTTCTGACTAGGACCTAAACAAGATGTCAAAGCTGCCAGAGACTTCATTTTGAAGCTGTATCAGGATCAGAACCCCGACAAGGAGAAAGTAATTTACTCCCACTTCACTTGTGCCACAGACACAGAAAATATTCGTTTTGTCTTTGCTGCTGTCAAGGACACGATCCTGCAACTCAACCTGAGGGAGTTCAATCTGGTTTAAATTAAAAGCGTGCTTGTATGAGTGTGATTTACTCATAGCACAGCCTGTACTGATTAAAAAAAAAAAAAAAAAAAAAAAATGGTGTCTTTTAAATACCATTTACAGAAATGAGAAGAGGGTTTTATATTTACTGCAGTATGGATTAGGAGAACTTTAAGGACTGAGTTTCAACATTTACTTCGTAAACTATACATTTAAAAATCTCTTTTCATATTTTCCATACTAGCTCTGCCTGTGAGTTAATTTGTGACAGCTGTGGGAATTAAGAACATTTAAAAGAATGTTTGTAACTACATTGCTGCCCAAGTGGTATTTTCCTAAAATTTTTTCTTTAAACTTACCATTTTCAATCATATACAAAACTTCAAATCAGTGATGCCTTCAGTGATGCCTTAAAGATGACAAGTTGGTGTTGTTTTAAAGTGCTAGATATTTTTTAATTCTTGTTCTGAACGCAACATGGTCAAAATACTGGGTTAAATGTGTTACACTTTTTAGAAGCATGTTTTGGTAGCATTAATATGCCAAACCCATGGCATGTTCTAGGAAGCATTACAAAAGATTAATTATTGTGGATTTTTTCATATTGTGGATTTTTCCTTTTACTGCATTTCTGTTCAAATGCTCAACAATAATAGTATACCATTCACAGTTAAAGAATGACAGACTTGGATCTTGCAGGTAAGCCATGGAGTTTGCTCTTTTCTTATGAGAAAAAGTTTTTCTTAAGCAGCAAGACATTTAGTAAATGTTCTCAGGATTCACTGCCACAGGAACTGGAAGGTTATCCACACAGCTGCCTGTGGATAATCTAGTCCTTAAGTTCCTCCAAGTCAGTAAAGTAACTTGCATTATTAACTTGCTTTTTACACTTTTCATTTTCCCATTATTGAGTTTCACAGGTAGTTTTGCATGGATTAGAAACCAGTAAAACCTCTCCTCCAAAAGACTTCCAGCCATTACATGATCTCTGCACTGTCCATCTACAAACTTCTCCAGTAATGATGCCAGGATCACTAATACTCAATCAATTCTTATTCATCTGATTAAAAATTCTCAGACCAGCAGTGTCTGAAGACGTTAGGCAGACCAACCCCAGCAATTTTGAAAACCCTTTTTACCCATTGCAAAACCTCATGGTAGTAATTGGCATTTAATTAACTAGTAACACCAATAAAGGGATTGTTTTAGTTAAACTGCTGGTTACTAGCATTAATTCAGCTCCAAAGACATGCCAAGGTTCTCTTGTATATAAATGAATGACAATACCATTTTTCCAAGCAGTATTATAGCAACGGTTCTTAATATCAACATGAAATAGTGATTTCCATACATCACAGAAAGATTAAAAATTATTTGATTTGCAACATAACATATCTGTGTATTGAGCTGGATTAATAGCCCTCACAGATCACTCCTGTGAAAAGCACACCCTGACCTTTCACTGTCCATAAAAGATGTTTACTGATTCACAAATTCAACAGCACAGGTACCTTTTGCCTAACAGTACAGATAAAGTATGTCCAGAGCTCTTTTTGGTTCTTAATGAGAAAACAGCCTGTAACATTTAATTCATTTGTTCTTTATTTAGTGTTGGAACAAGCTGCAGAAGACTGTTCTTAACAATGTTTTACAGTTTTGCCCATACTGCTATATGGCAATAATCAGCACTGAGGGAACAGTGCAGAAATGAGGTGCTGCAGGATACAGTACTACTAGTCAAACTAGAAAAGACCAAGGAGGAGCAACAGAAAGTCCAGCATACAGCAGCAAGACTCTGCACTTATCTTCTGCATTCCCAACAGGTTATCCCTACCCTCTCCCAAAAATATTAACATTACAATTCTTCCAATGGTAATTTCCAATTTCAATTCTCTGCTAAACACTCTTGCTCAAAGAAAACAAAACAAAACAACAAAAAGTTACTTCAGAACTTCCAAATACATAGAAACAGAAATATGAACTTTTTCTAGGGAAGCAGAGTTGATGAAGGAAAGCATAAAGTACCCAAGTGCTTGAACTTCTTGATCCAATTTTGAGCTCTGTAGGAACTCCTGGGAAAACATCTACTTGAACTCTCAGCACTTTCATATCTGAGTAAAGATTTTCTGGCTATTTGAAGAGTACCTTCATGCCAGGAATCTGGGAGTCAGGCTTTTCTGGAGAACAAGCACTGCAGATGGTGAGACAGTTACCATTCTACAGGACCCATATAAGCTTTTCTGTAATACCTCACAATCAACACTTTAAAACATTTGTAAAGTCACTTTCCAAGACACGCTTCTGCACGTAATTCTCTACGTGTTTGATACGCAAAGTGAAAATCCATAAAGATTAAAAAAAAAAAAGAGATCCAACAAAATGAAAATTGAGTTGTTCTCACTTTTTGCCTATTAGTGTCCTAGTTTGCCATACTTATTCCAGTAGTCACATTTGCTTCAACTATTGATATATTGCTCAGGGGATGATGAGTTAACAAGAATGAATGACAATGGACATTCTTTTACTCCTTGTAGGAGAAGACTTAACAGGGAATTCACTGCTCCTTTAAAGTATTACAGGAATATTTTGAATTATTGTTCCAGATTTGCCCTGGAAAAAATAAAAACCTCTTTATAAAAATCCTGTGTCTGCTCTAAATGGAAATTTAGATACTCACATCCTACCCACTGTCACATAAGCAAAAATCGTGGCTCTAGATGATGAGCTCCTAGATGATGCATATATATACTGACCATAAAATTCTTAAGTAAGACACTGGTAATAACAGTCAAATCTTAAATGGGCAATAAATTTATAGGCAGGAAAACCTAAGCATAAGACATTCAAGAATAGCATCAACAAAATATGTTGATTTGCATTTCAAGATAAGATGATGATTAATGCAAGTTTTCTGAATGAAAAGTATTCTTTGAAAAATTTTGACATGCTTCACAAGACAAGCATAATACACATAAAAATCAAGTCAGAAACAGACTTTGCATTGCATCAGAAAAAATCGCAAATACATGGTGCATATTAGCAGTATTTTTCACCAACAGTTCCTACATGTAATAAACAGGTTTTTCTAAAATGCATGGACCCAATGCTTTAAGTAAAAGTAAAAAACAAAAACAAACAAACAAACAAAAAACCCACAAGCTTTTCCACTGTTTTGAACTAATTTCAGAAATAATACGCACACTACAGTAAGATGGACAGCTCCATCACCCTGGCTGTTTTTAGTAACTTTAAACTAAAAGCTTTTTAGTAAAATCAAACCTTAAACCCATCCTCTGTAGTTTTAGATTAACTGATCAACATTAAAAGGGTAATTAATTGTTAGAGACTTGACACACACATATCCTTAGCTCCTGAGAGGTGAATGTTTCATTGATACTGGACACAATGATACTCCTTCAGTTTTTGCTGCACTTTCAGTAAGGATTAGTCACTACAGAATCAACAGAGCAGGATCATAGAATGGTCTGGGTTGAAAAGGACCTTAAACATCACCTCATTCCAACTCACTGTCAGGTGGCAGGGACACCTCCCACCAGACCAGGTTGCCCAAAGCCCCATCCAGCCTGGCCTTGAACACTTCCGAGGATGGGGTATCCACAGCTTCTCTGGGCAACTGATGCCAGGGCCTCACCACTCTCTGAGTAAAGAATTTCCTCCTCATATCTAATCTAAATCTAACCTCTTTTAGTATAAAGCCATTCCCCCTTGTCCTGTCACTATACTCCCTGACAGAGTCCCTCACCTGCTTTCCCTTAGGCTTCCTTTACATATTGGAAGGATGCTGTAAGGTCTCCCCAGAGCCTTCTTTTCTCCAGGCTGAACAATCCCAGCTCCCTCAGCCTGTTTTTACAACAAAGATACTCCAGCCCTCTGATCATCCTCATGGATCTCCTCATGTCTTAACAGCTTCATGTCCTCACACAGTCTTAACAGGTTCATGTCCTCCTTGTGTTGGGGGCCCCATAGCTGAATGCAGTGCTCCAGGTGGGGTCTCATTAGAGCAGAGCAGAGGGAAATAATCACCTCCATTGACCTGCTGGCTACGCTTCCTTTGATGCAGCCTAGGATATGGCTGGCTTTCTGGGCTGCAAGTGCTCATTGTTGGATCATGTTGATCTTCTCATCAACCAACATCCCCAGTCTCCAGGGCTGCTCTCAATCAATTCTCTGCCCAGCCTGTATTTGTGCTGGGGATTGCCCCAGCCCAGATGCAGACCTTGCGCTTGGCCTTATTGAATCTCATGAGGTTCACATAGGCCCACCTCTTAAGCCTGTCCAGGTCTCTTCCCTCCAGCGCATCAACCGCACCACTCAGCTTGGTGTCATTGGCAAACTTGCTGAGGGTGCACTGGATCTCACTGTTCATGTCACCAACAAAGATGTTAAACAACTCTGGTCTCAATACCAACCCCTGAGGAACACCACTCATCCCTGGTCTCCACGTGGATATCAAGCTGTTGACCACAACTCTTTGAGTATAACCACCCAGCCACTTCCTTACCCACCAAGTGTTCCATCCATCAAATACTTGTGTCCCCAATTTAGAGACAAGGATGTCATGAGGGACAGTGCCAAATGCTTTGTACAAGTCCAGGTAGATGTCAGTTGCTCTTCCCCTCTGCACCAATGCTGTAACCCTATTGTAGAAGGAAGACTTTAATCTTAGGAAAAAAAAAAAAAAAAAAGTATGGTAGAATTGTATGACCTGCTGAAGAAATGCTGCAGACTCTTGCCTCGTACAATACTTACATGGCTCCAAGCAATGCAATCTTTAGATTGTTCTTTTCTGGAATTCAGATGTGAAAAGCTCAAGAAGGGTAAGAAAAATCTGAATAGCTTCCAGAATAATCTAATTCTTGAGGCTAATACAAGATCAGGAAATACATACAAATCAGACATAATATAAATTTAAACATAGTATGGAAATATTTACAAACAAGCCACAAGACTGAACAATCCTATTAAAGTATGGGACATTTATTGAAACTGTTTTACATCAGCAGAATAATTAGAAAACTGAGGGTTTGAACTTGATATTCAGGACTGTGCTGTGTTAAATTTTAACTACCATTACATAGCAGTAGTATTCTTGTGTTGACTAGTTTATGGTATTTAATGTTATTTGAGGATATATTTACTAAAATAACTCAAAAGGAACAAAATATTTTAGTGATTTTTGATATGTGAGTGTATTTTTTGAAATGGTACAGATAAGAAATAGTTAATGGCATGTGAACATAATTTTTTGGAAAAAAAAAAAAGATGATTTCATAAGAAGCTGGTGATTTGGCAATGCCACCTATGTTTTTTCAATGTATCAAGATAAAAAGATTACACCAGAGGGAAATGATATACATATAAATCTAGTAAATAAAACTGTCCTTACAAAGGTAAAGACTAATGTCTGTATTGCTGCAACAGAAGCTTGACCCCGTGTTCTCAGAGACGGGATTTGACTTCATTTGTCAATTTCTACTCACCAAATTTTGAATAAGTGTCGCTTGTAAATAAATGAAAAACAAAAACACACAACCATTAATGCAACATATATGGAAAAAAAACAATAATCAAATTCCAGTCAAATAAAGTTCAGTTTTACTTTATTGTCAGTGGGGAGGAGACTCTGCGGTGGGCTGGGGGGGAAGCAGGGCAGAGGGTGGAAATGAAAGAGCCATGCCATGCAAAGCCATGCAGAAAAGAAGGAAAAAAAAAAAAAAAAAGGTGCAAACAGAGTTGTTTTAGCAATGTACCCTGCATATTTTAGAACACTGCATAATCCGGTCACCTGCACCCAGCAGTACTTCTCATCACCATCTTCAATTCTAATTTTGGTTATTCCTTTCAGAGAGGAAATTCTAACCAGTAATAAGCTACTACTGGGAATCTAAATGACATTTTTTAAAGGATTTATGTTTAGGTAACATTTGCCCAGAATAGAAATCATTTTCCAACACAGGCCCTAGTATATTTTAGGCACTACATTGCACAGATTTAGCTGTCTAGATTTTTACTTTTGTTGAAATTCCCTTGTATAATTGCATATAAATATTCAATAAAAAATAATATATCTGCTCTACTTTCTTGTTGAAAAAAATGAAATATGGAATGAGGCACACCAGAGCGGACATTTAAAATAATTTTCAGCAATCCATTAAGGTACACAACAGCATAATTCTGAATATCTTTCTCCTCTTTCCAAGTCGATTTACAGTTAAAACAGAGACAACTCATATCTACTGAGAAATGGCAAAATTGATTCATGACTGTATGGAGAAAGCATATGGAAAAAGCACAGGAAAAAGATACCATTTACTGACTAGAAAAAATGGAGCTACAGAAAATCATGTTGTCATTACAAGCTGAGACGAGGCGGGAGGTGGTGAAACGTCCCACATTGACTTTCAAACATTTTGGATGCAGATCAGACCAGCACACTTCCACTGTTCTAGTTTTCATGTTAACACTTCTAGTCAGCACAGGAGCTCAAAATAATTTATACTTCATAGCAAAATTGAAACTTTGGGGGAATTGTTTTGTTTTCCAAAAACATAAGCTTAACCACAGACACACATATTTAAAATTTAAAATAAATTAAACAACATTAATGATTAAATTGCTCAAATACAGAAGAGACGGTTGAGGTTTGACAATCAGGAGTTTGTTGGCAAAATAAATAAATTGAACTAAATAAATTGAACTATCATGCCTATGATTAAGTGTGATTGATTTAAAAAATATACAGATGTGGAATGTTATTCAGTGCACCTGATGACAGTACTACCTAAGGCAAAGTATTCTATTATTTTTGCATGGCTATAACCTGAGTTAATACTTTTGGTATCTGTGGTATAAACAAGCTGAGTTAACAGTCATTGTCATAGTTCAGATTTCACATATAACCTTTTGATTCACTTTATAATTTATGGGAAAAACTACAAAATCATCTGTATTTTGTAAACAACTAACTGGTTACTCAACACCTAAGACAAGACTTACAGTGAATTAAGGAACTGCAATTGCAGGTTAGCATGCTAGTCATTCTAGATTTTACAATAATGCAACAACTTAGATCTCAGAAGCACCACTGGCAGTGTCAGAATAATTAAATCCCACGGATATATGCATTCCAAACAATTGTTTGGAAAGAGTATTTTGGCAGTAGATACTGACTATATATACCAGAAATTCTGAAGACTTTGATTTGGGAATTTATGGAAACCTTTACCTAAGACTGCATTGTTTCCTGTACTTTTTACATCAACCGCAGTAATCAGCCACTCAACAATATTATGACTAACACATCTAAGAAGTAAGTAGTATCACACAGCTTCAGGCTCTCCCGATTAAAGTTCTAATGTCTGGATATGAAACAAAAATGTTCCATTAAGTAAAAAGAGTTGAAAAACACAACTGTGAAATACTGTATTTATTATTTAATATAAATCTGACTTTATTTGCCACTTGCTTAGCACACAATATCCAAGGCATATATTTGGTATGCAACAGTGCCCTTATAACCTCAAAACTTCCTTCTTCAGTTGGAAATCTGTTAATAACTTTTATTTAGAATAATAAGCTTTAATTCATATTTCTAGTGCAGACATATATTAATTATCCCCATTGTAAGTTTTTGTAAACTGTTATATTTTCTTTGAATAATGATAAAGGTGCTGCGACATTTCCTTGAGTAGGATATAAAAAAGTTTACACTAAAAGTGATATTGTAATGTAAATGCATCGTGACCTGGTCTATTCATTTACAAAAAGAAAATAATATTTGGTAACTATGCAGCCCCTCCTGTGATCATCTAAATTAGGCTTTTCTGGTGAACAGATGCCTTCTTAGAATTTGAGTTGTAAGACTAGTGATGATTAAGTTAACATTTCCTTCAAAAGAAACTTGAACTTCAACACAGCCTCAAGTTGTAAGAAAAAGAAGACAGAAACTAAATATTGATTTTCAGAATCAAAGCCAAAAGATTTGCTCTGAATAGTACCAAAATAATTATTTCAGAATTCAGCTTCAGTGCCAAATGTAATGGTAAAACAAATTCATTTAAAACTGTATTTTGAAAAAAAATAATAAAATATATGTTTAAGTAAAATGAAATCTATTAAGTAAAAAAAAAAAATATCCAAGAAGCTGAAACTTGGCAAATTTTTTGATCACTGGAGTTTTTTCTTTAAACTTAATAGCAGCTGCTTTTGTGATGTATCTGTAGACTGGTGTGACCACAAATAATTTCATCAATCCACCCCTGCACTACCCACCATCTTTTTTTTTTTTTTCAACTTTGTAGTTACTATGCATATAATTCTACTTGTAAAGGAAACTAGAAGGTAGATGTTCAGCATTCTTCATATCTTGGTGCTTCTAAATTCATTATGATTTTGGCTGATTCTCTCTTACTTCTTCCAGTTTAGAAAGGATCCACTGTGTGAAAGGAAAAGGAAATAATGAAAATGTATCCTTAAGTAAAAATCACGTAGAGCAGCTGCAAATATGATTGGGATGGCCACACAATTCACTACCTGCTCCCTCCCCAAGTTTTAACACAGTACTTAAAATTCTACTGTAGATTAAAAATGCCTGATTTTCTCACAGGAAAATGGAGGCATTGAAGTACCAATATCTGACATGACGACACTGAATACCACAACTAGTTAAGCTGCCTAGGTTGATAGTTCAGTTTCCTGGACTACATTTCAATGAATAATACTTTATAAAATTAAATGAAATCATTATTTCATGCACATTATTATTAACCCTCTGCATTAGTCTACAACTCTAGATGCATCTAGTCCCAGATGACACTATAAAACTAAGGATAACAGAAGACAATCGACAAGAATTTCTTGTAGCAATGTGATAATACAGTTATTTATAGGAAAAAAAAAAAAAAAAGCTTTTCTCAACTATATTCAGTTTCTTTTCATGAATTTTGAATTCTCGTATTTTCTGAACACAGAAGAGAAATGTGGCACTTCTCACAGATGCAGAACTCTAGGACACTAGACTAAGACTCTGAGAACTCTGGAAACTCTAGAACTCTAGGACTCCAGACTAGGGCGCTACAGTGTCCTCTAGACTGAAAAGGGGAGTGAAGTGACCTCATACTCCTTACTGTGAAGGGTCCAGTTTCATTTTTACTTTTCCTAAAATGCTTGCCTTCGTGTCTTCACTCTATACACAAGCACAAACGCAACATTTGTAGAAGTAAGCTGTAGGCTAGACAACCCAGAAGGAACTCTCAAAGACACCATACTTTCAGTAGGACAGTCCCTAAGAACCTGACAGCATTTTTGATGAAACTTTAAAGTATTCCTTCACTAAGATGTAAGTACAGTCTGTACCAAGTCTATCTGACAAGGACCTTTTACCCCCTCACATCTGCATTCCTGTTGGTTTTGTGTGTGAGGTGCTTGGACCTTTCTGAAAAATAAGCAAACCAACATTTAATGAAAAGTATACATTTTTTTCTTGCTTTCTTTTCCTTGCTTAAGCACTTATAGTATGCATAACATAATTCACGGTCCATGGTGCTGCTTAAAAAAATAAAATAAAAAATGGAGCTCAGCACCTCCATAGAGTACAAGAGAAGTAAAAGTCAGCAATGGGCTCTCAAACACCTTGATAGTATTTGTGATTCTTTTTGAGCTAAGAGCCAAAAGGTATCACTCAGCTGCAGTTGTAAACTATCCTTGCCAAAAAAAAAAAAAAGCATCTTAAACTGTTGAGTAGATGCAGGAGGTGTGCATATATACAAGATTAATTTATTCTTTGTGAAAATAATGATTCATGCCAATTAAAAATATGACAGAATTTAGCAACTTTGCTAACTCATAGTGCTGGTAGCAGACCTGAACCAGGTTGCAGTGAAAATAATGTCAAAATGAAGAGATCATATAGAACATATCTAATTATTATAACATCAAATAATCTATTTGATTCTCTATTAATACTTTCCTCATTCTTAAGCTCTGGGGGTAGTTTACAAATATTGTTCTATTAAATTTTACTATTTTAATTCATATTCTCGATTGCTTACTTTCATTAGTAGAACTATCACATCAGCTGTCTGACAATTATAAGTCCAAAGATAAAAGTAAGGATAAGTTTGGTGTTTAGATTGAGAATTTCTGAAATTCAGTATCAATAGATCATTGCTCTTTCCATCTGTTTAAGGGCTGAATCAACAACCATTATGCTTGTAGATGTAGTCAGATTTATAAACTAAGATTTATCAGAGACACTAGGGAGATGTTATGCATTATCTGGATGAGAACTTTAACAACCGTAAGAAAGTGGAAGGAGCCGGTATTTCACACTGTAAACACAAGCTCTGAAGAGCTGCTGGGTCTGAAACACAATCTCAGTTGATGTCTCAGTTAGGAGAGATCATGTCCAATGGGACAGAGTACTAAGTATGAGTATGAAATATTTTATTTTCCACACTCAAGGTTAAGATTTTTTTTTTCCACTTTTTAAGCCAAATGCAACACAGGATAATTGTAACAATATTTTGATTTTACCTTAGCATCCTCTGGAGTTTTAAAATTAATAATTTTTCCAAATTCTTTGGCATGGAACACAGACTTTACTCGTTCCTAAAAAAAATAAAATGTAATTAGGTAATTGTAGAGTTAATTTCTTCAAACTTCATGTGTAAGAATTTATTTACCATTACGGCAGCTATGGTTCAGAGAGCACCAAACATCA